ACTCCCCACTGAGCAGGGAGCCCGAGACAGGACTCGATTCCAGGACCCTGAGATCATGACCTGAGCTGAAGGCAGACGCTTGACCGACTGAGCCACCCAGGCGCCCCCAAATAAATAAAATCTTTAAAACCACCACCACCACCACCACAAACCACCAAGTTTGTGTTAATTTGTTAGAGCAGCCACAGCCCCCACTGACGTTTCCTGCATAAACTAACCCTGTGCTGGTTACCAAAGGGCGATTTTCCAATTCCGTCATTCCTTCCGCATTTGTTAGATGGCACTCTATTTTAAGAAAAACCCCATGTATTCATTTATTCAGTATGGACTTATGAACTCCTATTGTATTTAACAGCTTATAATCTGTTCCCATTTTTATTATGGTTTATAAATTGCCTTAGATTTGACAAGTGTAAGATTCTGCAAGCCAGTTTTTCTGTCCTTTTGACAGGATCCCATCTCCCTTTGAGCACTTCCTTACCATCTGACACATTAAGATATTCCAAGCTCATCTTGTAATTTCCAAGCCTGTAACAAGCCATCCTCTAAGAAGCCCTAGTTCTTTTGAGTGTGAAATGGCATTCAGAAACCAAGATCTGGTGCTAAGGGGGCTCAGAGTTATTGGGGTGTTGCTGCTCCAAAGCCCCCTCAGTAGAGAGATCTAGGGAACACACACACACACACACACACACACAATGTATGTATACTCATACACCAACCAGATCTGAACAGACATTTTTTCCAAAGAAGACATAAAGCTAGCTAACAGGTGCATGAAAAGATACTTTACATCATTAATCAGGGAAATGCAAATCAAAACCACGAGATATCACTTCACATCTGTTAGAATGGTTATTATTCAAAAGACTAGAAATAACACGTGTTGGCAAGGATATGGAGAAAAAGGAACCCTTGTGCACTGTTGGTAGAAATGTGAATTGGTGTGGCCACTATGGAAAACAGTATGGAGATTCCTCAAAAAATTAAAAATCAAACTACCACAAGATCCAGCAATTCCACTTCTGGGTATTCATCCGAAGAAAACAAAAGTACTAACTCGAAAAGATCTATGCACCCCCATGTTCATTGTAGCACTATTTACAAGAGTCAACATATGGAAACAACTTAAATGTCCACCAATAGATAAATGGATAGAGAAATTGTGACACAGAGCCACGTGGGTGGCTCAGTTGGTTAAGCGTCTGCCTTCGGCTCAGGTCATGATCCTGGGTCCTGGGATCAAGTCCCTCTCCCTCTGCCCCTCCCGCCTGCTCATGGCACATTCTCTCTCTCTCTAATAAATAAATAAAATCTTTTAAAAAAAGAAATTCTCTCTCACACACACAATATTATTCAGCCATAAAAAAGAATGGAGTCTTGCCATTTGTGAAAATATGGATGGACTTCTAGGGCATTATGCTAAGTCAGACAGAGAACGGCAATTACCCCATGATCTCTCTTATATGTGGAAATAAATAACAAGCTCATAGATACAGAGAACAAACACACTGGTGGTTGTTAAAGACGAAGGAATAAGAGGGAGAAATGGGAGAACTATTTTTGTATTTAGCTTAAATAAGTTGAGTTAAAATAAGATATAATAAAACAAGGTTTAAAAAAGAACTATTGATTGATTGATTGATTTAGTAGGCTCCACACCCAGCATGGAGCCCAACATAGGGCTCAAACTCACAACCCTGAGATCAAGAGATCAAGACCTGAGCTGAGATCAAGAGTCAGACACTCAACCAACTGAGCCACCTGGGCACTCCAATAAAATATAATTTTAAAACCCCAAACTAAATGTTTACATCTATATCTATCAAAAACCTTGAGTTCACTCTGAAACCTTCAATTATAATCCAGAATCACAGACTTCTCCCTTGGCTAGCTCCCAGAGCCTTCAACATATTTATTAGATCAATTCCCCTCATACGTAATCAATCTCCTGTCACCACCTGCCACTGCTACACACATGGACACTCTCCTCCAAATGCTCAAATTCCAAACCCAGTTCTAAGACCACTACCACCCTATTACAAACAAGCACCCTCCTCTCCCCCAACAACCTGTTGCTGTGCCAGATCCCCACAACACCCCCAGATTCCTTCATCCCTTGCTCAGGATCCAACAGCCATACAGACTCTTGCCTCACCCTACTCAGGCTCTGACAACCCATTCTGGACCGCAGCCACCCTCTCCCCATGTGTTCTCCTTACCTGGTCTCCAACCCCCTGTCCAGCCCACAAAGATACCTTCCTCACTTTGGGCTAACACCTGGTTCCGGGCCATCACCACCACCACCACCATCCCTCCCTTGCAAACATCTATCTTGCTCGGCCCCACCTAATGGCTGTGGACTGAATTACTCAGGAAGGAAGACAGCAGTAACAATATATATATTGTCATTCCACTATCAAAATTATTTCTATCTATCCACCAATTATTGATAAATACGCACTGTGAGATATCTGGAATAATGCTCACTAAATCATAATATGGTTATTTCTGAGTTGTATGAATTTTAGACAATTTTTTCCTTCTTTGTACCTTTTATTGCACTGCTTGAATCGATGATTCTGTGTGTCATTTTTATTAAAATACTCATATTCCCTAAAAATTTGAATACACAAAGAGGTACAAATATATTCTAAGAAGCACTGGTGAAAAATTTTAAAAAGTGAAATGCTATATAATATTAAATGTTAACTATATTATGGTAAATCTATACAATGACATACTAAGTAATATATGACATAGAGAGGGGATGCCTGGGTGGCTCAGTCGGTCAAGCATCTGCCTTTGGCTCAGGTCATAATCCCAGGGTTCCGGGATCGAGTCCTGTATCGGGCTCCTTGCTCAGCAGGGAGCCTGCTTCTTCCTCTGCCTACTCTGCCTGCCGCCACCCCCCCAAATTTTATATATATATATGACATAGAGGTTTATCTAGAGACATGTAAAAATGACCACTATTAAAAAAAAGAGTATTATAAAACCATATTATGAATTTTTTAAAGGAAAATACAAATTTGTAAGTACTTACATTTATAGAAAAATTCTGGAAGAATAGCAACAAAATTTTTAAGAATAGTGATTTGTAGGCAGTCAAATTACAGTTGTTTTTGAGTATGTGAGCTTTGTTGTTGTTTTTTATTTTTTTTTAAGTAAGCTCCACACCCAATGTGGGGCTAGAACTCACAACCCCAAGTTGCATACTCTACTGACTGAGCCGGCCCTTATTCATTTGAGTTTTTATAATTTATGTATATATTACTTGTATAATAAAAGTTGTTTTACAAAACACAATGACAAGAACACAAAATTCTGTCAGGGTCAGAATTCTGTCAGGGTCTGTCATCCTACTACATGATATAGAGAACAGTCAACCTAGAATTCTACACCTAGTTAAACTCATTTAACTGAGAATGAAACAGACTTTTTTAGATGACAGATTTTTATCATTCACAAACCTTCCCTATAAGAGCTGCTAAAAGAGGGGCGCCTGGGTGGCTCAGTTGGTTAAGCGTCTGCCTTCGGCTCAGGTCATGATCCCAGGGTGCTGGGATCAAGCCCTGCATCGGGCTCCCTGCTCAGCTGGGAAGCCTGCCTCTCCCTCTCCCACTCCCCCTGCTTGTGTTCCCTCTCTCACTGTGTCTCTCTCTGTCAAATAAATAAATAAAATCTTAAAAAAAAAAAAAAAAAGAGCTCCTAAAAGATATTCTTCAGGAAAATGAGAACTGAACTAAAAAGAAAGGAGTGTGATGAAGGAGACAAAGGGAGACTCTCTGGGGTAAGTCTAAGTAATTGCTGTCTATATAGAGAATACACTAATTCAAGGAAATAAAAACAAAGTTGAGCTAAAACACTGAACATTGACCATTTTGAGAGCTTTGCTTTATTTGAGAGGATTGTAAAAATGCAGACCTATTTTAGAATATCTGTTAATTCACATACGGATTTTTTAAAATGTGAGAATATCTGCAAAACAAAACAAAACAAACAAAAACACAGCACAAATATATTTCAAACCAGTAGAGGAAAAAAAATTTAAGGAAAAAAAATCAATCCAAGGCAAGAAAAAAATAAAGCAAAAACATGGTAAAAACACAAAAATTAGAAAAAAAATCAATAATAAATTAAGCAGAATAAACTCACCAACTAAATCTCAAACTGATTTCTAAAATCATATGCTGTTTATAAAAGACATCCAAGGTTAAGAACAGAGAAACTGAAAGTTAAAAGAAGGACAATGATACAGCAAACAAATACAAAGCAAAACGTACGACATCCAAGGTTAAGAACAGAGAAACTGAAAGTTAAAAGAAGGACAATGATACAGCAAACAAATACAAAGCAAAACGTACAGATAATACTGTAACATACATTGACATACCCTTATTAAGAGGGGAATGCTTGTTACATTTGTTTCCCATGTGTTCTGTGATTGGAAATAAAAAGCTTAAGAGGCTCTCCCCAACAAAAAATGTCCTATTTTAGCAACAGTTACCCAGGAATAACAGTGCTGCTCACCACTGCACCTTGAGCGTGTAGCATCTGTCAGTACTCAGCATGCTCTATATTGGCTGAATAAAGTTTACCATGAAACATTCAAGATTGCAAAAAAGGGGCAGCATTACATAATTAATTACATCATTTTTGTTCTTATAAGTAACCCCTTTTCATTAACACATACTTCAAAAGAGAATCTTAAAAACAGTGCTTCTGAAGAAATTAGAAATAAAAGTTCTGCATTCTGCTTTAATCTCCTGCTTTGAAATTTCCAATCTGTTTCCATTATTTCTCTTCCTTTGGTGCCATGTTTTAGTCACCCGAGTTCAAATCTCAATAGCTGTAAACTCTTAGCTGAAAGCTCATCATCGTCTTTGATTCCTAAATGAATTTTGGCATCCAATGGATTTCTCTGTAGAAAAATTAGTCCCCATTCTACAACACGATAAAACCAAAGAAAACCCCCCAAAACAAAGAAAAATACCACATACCTTCCATCTTTCAGAGTGTTAACAATGAATCGGTTAATCTGGCAAATACAATTGCTAGACAATTGTTCTTCCTCAACCAGAGGGTTCAACTGTGTTGCCAACATGAAAGCTGAAAAGCACAGAGATTACTTTAGTTCCCACAACACTTCAGTCATGACAATCTGAAAGCTGATCACACCTGGACTAGCAAAGGAAAACAATGCCTTGAATATGTTTCTGAAATTAAAACAACTCAGATTCTGCATAGTGAAAAACAATATAATTTACCGTGTTAAACATCTGCTGGTACTTTGAAATGTATTTCTTAAAGTGCCCAAAATAATTTTTTCCATCATTCAGGTTTCATGACAAAGACTAAAAAGTCTTTTCCATGTTCTTCACCTTGTGACTAGAGATAGCAAGCAATATTCTGCAAATTCTTTCCCCCTTGTAAAGTTTCCAACACAGAAATAAATCCCCAAAAAGGCAAGTATAGGACAACTAACCCATTATATTCACTAAATGTCAATACCATCCTGAGGGAAATTAATCAAAGAAAACAGAGCACCAGTTAGAGAAAATTAATTAAGCCAAGTGGCTGCTTTCCACTAGATCTAGTCTATTGTTAGACTGCTCTCTGCCGGGGCCTTGGGTGGCTCAGTCGTTAAGCGGCTGCCTTCGGGTCAGGTCATGATCCCAGAGTCCTGGGATCGAGTCCCACTTCGGGCTCCCTGCTCAGCGGGAAGCCTGCTCTCCCTCTCCCACTCCCCAGCTTGTGTTCCTGCTCTCGCTGCCTCTGTCTCTGTCAAATAAATAAATAAATAAAATCATTAAAAAAAAAAAAAAAGAATGCTCTCTGCCAGCTGTAATTCTGTGTGAATGAAGTGCATGGCCAAGCAAAGGTACATTTCTGAAATGCCCCAAATTATTGCAATCGAAGTGCTGGGTGTTCTTTTATTATTTAAATGCATTCCTAGATTTATACACCATACTTACAGGATAGAGTGTTCAATCCATCACTCATAAGCAGTCGATAACGGGGTGGACTAGTCCCTGTAATAATGGGACGGATGTTCTAGGATAGAAAACTTGATTCATTAGTCGGGTTGTCTTCCCAGTGCCAGGGATAAGTAAACTTAAGTGGCAGGAGAGTGGGTTTGCCATTAGTTCAACAAACACTGAACTGCTTGCCCATTCTCCTGACACCTAAATCCAAGCAAAAGAAAATTGGATTTGATGATTTTCCCACCACCGTCTCTGTATTAACATTATTAAACACAACATAGTTGAGAATAAAATGAGTTTCAATTCTGTTCTCTCTCAACTCAAATTTGATTGAAAATTAATTTTAAAAAAGATACGACAAGGCACCTAATATATATAAGGAGCTACACAGAAAACATGCTAAAAATACAAAATGGAAAAAAAATATCCTTGCCCTGAAGGGGCTTACAAATGAGGTGGAGACAGAGGCAAAGAGACATAGAGAGTTATGCACATGACATGGGGACACAGCTAAGACGTTTATCACAACCTGAAGGAAATCAGCAGCAGTTCTCCAAAGGAAGTAAAGTACATAAACAGAGCTTTAAGATGAGTGGCAGTGAGTTTGGGAGTAACAGGGAGATCATTAAGCCTATGACTCAGAATCTGCAGGTATGATCCAGGATGCTGCTTCTATGCATTTTTTAAATTTCCACTAAAATTTGAGAACCCTTTAAATGAATGATAGGGTTAATGATGAGTTTTAAGCAGATATGTTCATTGCAGGCCCACATAAGGCAGATTTGAGCAAGACAAACCTTAGGGCAGGAAGAAAAGGAGGCAGTGGTAATGATGGGTAGCACTACAGTATCCATCAATTGTGGAAAGAACAGAAAGGCAAAGCCTTTGGCTAGCATAATACTGGGGGGAAAAAAAAAGGCCTGCTTCCTCTCTTAGGCTTACAACAAGACTGGCCTATTTTTTGGGATGATGAAGAGAATTTCCTAAAGTGGACGAATCTGTGTGTGCTTCATCAAATGTAATTTGTAATTACATAAAAGTTTTTAAAATGTGTGACATAAAATATTCAAAGGTACTCACAATGACTTGGAGGATGGGTTTTATGGATGTATCTCCCTGTTGCATTATGACCTGAAAGAGTAAAAACAGAATGAGATATACATTCAAATCATGACCAAAATCTGACATATTTTTACAGTTTGGTATTTGGAATAAACTACAGATAACATTATTAAAGAGGCTTTTTGGAGCTTATCATTTGAAAATCCAGTTTAAGTTTTATCACTATAGACAAATCATAAAATCATAAAAGTGGGATACATGCTTACCAACAAGGATATACTACTACATCCAAAATAAAGGCATCACATATGTACTCATTATTCAGAACAGAGCATTAATTTGACTATAGTACCCATTAATAGAGAATTAGATAAGTATGGTAAATCCTTAGAGTATTATGCAGCCTTAAAAAGATGTTTATAGGGGCGCCTGAGTGGCTCAGTTGTTGAGTGTCTGCCTTCGGCTCAGGTCACGATCCCAGGGTCCTGGGATCGGGCCCCGCATCATGCTCCCTGCTCTGCGGAAAGCCTGCTTCTCCCTCTCCCACTCCCTCTGCTTGTGTTCCCTCTTTTGCTGTGTCTCTCTCTGTCAAATAAATAAATAAAATCTTAAAAAAAAAAAAAGATGTTTATATAATACTGGTTGCCTCTTGTGAGAGAACTGAGGAGTGGGGGCCACATGTGGGAGGCAGACCTCATACTGAATCTTCTTTTTACACCTTTTGAATTTTAAATCTCTTGACTCTATTAGCAATTATGAAAATAACATCTAAAATAAGGGGAGCCCGGGTGGCTCAGTTAGTTAAGCATCTGACTCTTGACTTTGGCTCAGGTCGTGATCTCAGGGTCATGAGATGGAACCCTATATCAGGCTCCACACTAAGATCCTCTCCCCTTTTCCTTCTCTCTCTGCCCCTACCCCCCAAATAATATCTAAAAAAACCAAAAAACCAAAAAAACACCAGAATATCAACCAGGCTTTTAGTTTGTGTTTAAAAAGCCATCATTTAAAGGTAACCATCAGGGGGCGCCTGGATAGCGCAGCCAGTTAAGCATCAGGCTCTTGGTTTCGGCTCGGGGCTTGGGTCATGATCTCGGGGTCTTGGGATCAGGCCCCTCATCGGGCTCCTCGGTCAGCACAGAGTCTGCTTAGGTTTCCCTCTCCCTCTGCCCCTCCTCCCCACTCTTGTGCATGCACTCTTTCTCTCTCTCAAATAAATAAAATAAATCTTAAAAAAATAAATAAATAAAGGTAATCAACAGAAAAACTAACAGCAGTGAAGACTGGTTCTCTGGCCTCTAATTTTGCCCATGCTGAAATAAATGGTACGGGGCGCCTGGGTGGCTCAGTCGTCAAGCGTCTGCCTTCGGCTCAGGTCATGATCCCAGGGTCCTGGGATCAAGCCCTGCATCAGGCTCCCTCCTCAGTGGGGGGCCTGCTTCTCCCTCTCCCACTCCCCCTGCTTATATTCCCTCTCGCTGGCTCTCTCTCTGTCAAATAAATAAAATCTTTTTAAAAAAATGAAATAAATGGTACCAGACTAGCTCTTCCAACCACCAACTAAAAAACTGGACAAAAATATATAAACTGTTTTCAAATACAGGACAACAGGTAGAGAAAGACTGTGATCACTGAAATGATGGGAACCCTATGATCATCCTGGCTTTTGGCACAGAGGCACTTTTAGACCACAGCATGGACGAGGGAACCCAAGAAGAACGTGGTAGCCCTACTGAGCACAGATCAGAGTTCAGAGAGATGAGTTAGCTGGATTTCATGGATGCAGAGTACCAGAGATGAGGGAGCTACACAGAGAAAGACCTTCAATAACCTACACAGGGATTCCTTTGAGTCTCTGGCTGAATTCTAAGTTGTGAATACACAGAATGAGATTCTACAAGGCCAGGCAAAGAGTAAATATTAGAGAGCTATAAACTGAAAAATTAGTGGAGCTCACACAGGCTGGAATACAGATGAGTTCTAATCAGCCAGAAGACAGAAAACTCAATAAACATCTGCTGCATTCAGCAGAAAATCCCAGAAAGGGCATGCTTTAGAAACAGAACTAAACTAGACCAAAGTAAAAGCTATTCTAGACCCATTCCAGTCTCTGACGGATCAGCTGATTTGCAAGTAAATTAACAGTCGGCCAAAACAACTCAATATTCTTTTTTAAGACTTATTTATTTATTTGAGAGAGAGAGCCAGCGTGCGCAGGCATGCATGCACAAGTGGGAGGGGCAGAGGGAGAGGTTCTCAAGCAGATTCCAAGCTGAGCATGGAGCCCAACACAGAGCTCAATCTCATCACCTGAGCTGAAACCAAGAGTCAGATGCTTAACCAACTGCACCACCCAGGTGCGCCACAACTTACTATTCTTTAAAGAAATTTTAAAATACTCTATGTAACAGTGTGGGAAGTAGGCAAAAAGTACTTTCACAGCACACTGGAGTATTGGCTGTCACTCCAAGGAAAAGCATTTGTGCTGTTGAGTTGTGAGTTGAACCAACTGCTTTTTTACACAACACCATTTTTACCTGCAAGGCCAAATGACAAACTGGTTATTCAAACTTCAGAATTTAGTAAATATTTTCTCAAAAATAAGGTGAACCTGTTTTCAAGGAAAACGACAGTTACCGCCAATTATACAAGGGTTTTTTAGTGAAAATCAGAACTTTTGAAAACTTCTATTCGCCAACAATGAGCTTTATAGCTTCTCAATGCTTACAAACTTTTCTGATTAGTGAGATTAATAAGCATGAATTTTTGTTATATAATGAAACATACCAATATTTGGAAGATCTGCATAATGCAATGAGCCAGCATTTTCCAAATGACCAATGCATGACATTATGAATAACGCATAGGCAAAAGATCCATTCAAAATGCAAGACAGACCAATTCTTTTTTTTTTTTTAATTTAGGAGAGCGAGAGAGAGCAAGCATGAGCGGGAGGAGGGGCAGAAGGAGAGGGAGAAGCAGACTCCCTGATGATCAGAGAGCCCAACACGGGGCGAGATCCCTGGGATCATGACCCGAGCAGAAGGCAGACGCTTAATCAACTGAGCCTCCCGGGTGCCCCAAGATAGACCAATTTTACATTCCAACTAACCTTTAAGAAACTACCATTTGGGGCGCCTGGGTGGCTCAGTCGGTTAAGCGACTGCTTTTGGCTCAGGTCATGATCCTGGAGTCCCGGGATCGAGTCCCGCATCGGGCTCCCCGCATGGCAGGGAGTCTGCTTCTCCCTCTGACCCTCCCCCTTCTCATGTGCTCTCTCTCTCTCAAATAAATAAATAAAATCTTAAAAAAAAAAGAAACTACCATTTGTTGAGTTTGATACAGTATTAGAGAAAAGCTTTGTCTATTCATAACCATTTCTGACACCGTATGTGTGGGTTTTCCACATGAAGCAACTCTCTGTAGACACCAAGTATGTGTCCTACAAATTAATTCTGACACTAGAGTTAGTGTAGACCCCATAGGTTAGAGGCTCAGTCCCACAAGACCTCCCTTGCTTACTTCAGATACCCACCTCAAGTAGTGGGTCCTTAAGATGCCCACACTTCTGCCTTACTTGCCTACAAATTGGGGGTTCCTATGACCCCCTCCTCAGGCTCAAAGAACTCAGAGAATCACTTTACTGGTTTATTATAAAAGATATTATAAAGGATACAAATGAACCACCAGATGAAGAGGTACATAGGGCAAGGTCTGGAAGGGTACTGAGCATAGGAATTTCTGTCCCTGTGTGGAGTTTGGGGTGTGTGACCCTCCTGGCATGTAGATGTGTTCACCAACCTGGAAGCTCTCTGATTCCTGCTGTTTAGGGGTTTTTTGAAGGTCCCATTACATAGGCACGATTGATTAAATCACTGGACATTGGTGACTAGATCAATCTCCTGACTCTCTGGGGGACAGTGGCAGGGCAGGGGGGAGTTTAGGGTTGAAAGTTCCAACCCTTTCTTTTTTTTTTAAGATTTATTTATTTGAGAGAGAGAGCACGTGTGTGTGTGCGCATGAGCATGAGTGGGAGGGGTAGAGGGAAAGGGAGAGAGAATCTCAAGCCGACTCTGCACTGAGTGCAGAGCTGGACGTGGGGCTTGATCCCAGGACCCTGAGATCATGACCTGAGCTGAAACCAAGAGTCGGATGCTCAACTGACTATGCCACTCAGGTGCCCCAAGACCAAATATATGTTTCTTATTATATTATAATATTACAATATCACAAGGATCAAAAAAAGAAGCCTGAAATATTAAAATACTCCCTCTTTTTCCAACTACATACCTGAGGCCAGATTTCCTTTATATAGATCACCCCCCCAAAAAATATCAATATACCGAATGCAGAAGCTATTATGAAAATCTAGCTCCCGTATCTTCTAAAGCCAGATGCTAAAGCAATGTGCAAAAATGTAAAACAATATCAATTTTCTATTTGTTTTGAAATATATAGCTGTTTTCCACCATTTATGTTAGCAGAAGTTATTATCTTAAATGTATAAATATTTTTATAAAATATCTCAGTTATAATTTCAAATATGGTAAGGTAGATATCTCACACACAAAAAAAAGTTCTTGGGGGTAGAGGGGCAATGATTTTTTAAGAGTATTCTAAGATCGGGGTGCCTGAGTGGCTCAGTCTGTCAAGATCTTGATTTTGGCTCAGGTCATGATCTTAGGCCCGTGTCAGGCTCGGGGGCACAGGGCATGGGGCACTGGGCATGCAGTCTGCTTGAGACGCTCTTCCTCTGTCCCTCACCCTGCTTGAGCACATGCTCACTCTCTCTCTGTCTCTCTCTAAAATAAGTAAATAGATAAAACCTTTAAATAAGAGTATTCTAAGATCAAAATGTTTGATGTTGAGTGTAGCATAACATAGAGTTGTCCAATTGCTGTGTTATGCACCTGAAACTAAGATAATGTTGTGTATCCACCGCACTTAATAAAAAAAAAAGAGAGAGAGAGAACCACCGCGTTTTAGACTAAATATTTGTGTCTCCCCCCCCCCCAATTCATATGTTGAAGCCCTAAGCCCCAGTGTGATGGGAGCCTTCGGGGGTACTT